CAGAAGATGGTACTGTGGTGTGAGGTTCTATGTGGTGAAGAACATGGCCCCCAGGCTTCAGGCACAGCTGGATCCAGGTGCTCACACTGTGTCCTTGGAGTCTGACTCATACCATCTCTCAACTCTGCTTTCTTCTCTGCTGGCTTCATTCTCAGTGGTCTCTCCATCTGTAATGGCCCCTAAAGGCTCTGGACTTATATCCTGCAGGCTTGGTAGCCTCAGTGGACTGAGAGCCCCCCGTTCTGGAAAGTCCCAGCAGCAGTCAATGGGCCAGACTGGGACGTGCATTCATCTGCAGCATTTTATCTACATTCATCTCCTGGCACATACCAGGAGAACGGGGTTTCTCACTTGGCCAAACTTGGGTCATGTGCTCATCCCAGTCAGTCTGATCAGAGCCAAATGGATTGAGCATGGGGACAGGTGGTTCTCTAAAGAAAAATAAAGAAGCTGTTAACACACGAGGTGGGGCTGATGCTAACAACAAGGCCCCAGACCTCATCACTCCCTCCTCTATGCACCTCTATACCATGACTATGGTGCCCTGTGTCCTGTTCAGCTGGGAATCTCCAAGGAAAGAAGACCTCACCTTTCACCTCGTCTCCCAAAGTGGACGCAGCTCAGGGCCCAGTTCATGATCTACAGCCACTGTGGAATCAACCCCTTGATCAAATTTTGCCTGAGAAGGGGGAAGGGCAGTGAGCCCTGTGCCTCTGTGGTTTTCACCTCTTCCCAGTGCGGACCAAGCTTCACAGGCAAGAAAAGGAATGTTTCCACCACAACTCATTCTCCTTTCTCTCAGCACGACAGAGACCCCCAAATGCACTGTCAGGTTCAGAAGTTCATATGTACTCGAACAGCTGCTGTTTGCTGAACACCTGGGTACAATGTATTTTTTACATGTGACAAGGGCAGGATTTGTCAAGATAGAAATGTGTCGGGCCTTCTGTGAATATACTAAGAACAGTTATACATTTCTAGGTTGGATGTTATGGTATATGAATATGTCAATAAAGCTGTTGTTTTTCTTTCTTTTTTTAAAAGATTTTATTTATTTTTATAGAGGGGAAGGGAGGGAGGAAGAGGGAGAGAAACACCAATGTGTGGTTGCCTCTCATGCACTCCCAACTGAGACCTGGCCTGCAACCCAGGCATGTGCCCTGGCTGGCAATGGAACCAGTGACTCTCTGGTTCACAGGCACTCAATCCACTAAGCCATACCAGCCAGGGCTAAAGATATTGTTTTTCTTAAAGGGCTACCAGGTCTTACATGCTATGACTCCATCTATTGGGCAAAAGTAGCCCGTGGTGATAGCGGTCAGAACAGCGGTGACCTTTGGAGCTATTGCCTGAGGGACCCAGGGAGCCTCCGAGGACTGGGAATGGTGAACATCTTCCCCTGGTGGTTAGTACAAGGCATAGCATGTGTAGAAATTCATTCAGCTGAGTACTTCAGACATGTGTGCCTTAAAGCACACACTTCAATAAAAGGTAAATCCCCAAAGTGCTAGGTGTTTTTAAGTGGAGAAAAGAAACCAGTTCTAGAGTAATTCAGAGCACAGGTTTTTAACTTAGAAAACTGGATTTTATATCTGGCTCTACCTCTTTCTTCTCTGGGACTAGTAAGCACTGGGAACGAGTTATTTAATTTCTCTGTGCCTCAGTTTCTCCATCTGTAAAATGGGGATAATAATAGCACCTTCATCACTGTAACAATTTAAATGAGTTAATCCTTGCAAAAATCCTTGAAACAGTGGTTGGCACACAGTACGTGCTCAATAACTGTTAGTTATCTCTTGTGTCATTGACGTGGGTCAAGCATAGTGTGATCTCTGTGAATACAGAGAAAGAAGACACAGCCTTATCGTCCATGGAGTGCACCATCCAGTGGGCAGACAGACAAGCAATCGTGAGACAGAGGGAGGGGCGCTGTCAAGCGAGGAGCCTGGAGCATGGGAGCCCAAGGAAGAGCTCCTACATTCAGTCTGTGGTTCCAGCATGTACGGGAAGGCGAGAGCTCTAGTGGGAGGAAGCGGCATGTGCCAAGGTACCTGGAGACCACGCGAGAAGCCCTTGTGGAATGACTCAGTTGGCCAGTGCAGCTCTGAAGTCTACGGAAGATGAAGCCAGAGGGCAAGGAGAGAGCGCAGCCAGAAAGCTCCTTCTAAGCCACACAACAGAGCTGGGACTTTCTCCTGAAGCCAAAGGGGAGACACTGCAGGACTTGATGGGGAAGGGACATGGGCAGATCTCTAGAGAGAGACCACACTGGTCACCTGTGGGGAATTCTCTGATTGGGAGCCAGGCTAGAGACAGGGATGCCACTGGGGGCTGTTCCTGTCCCTCAAGACACATACTGCAACTTGTACATTTAGATCGTATTTACAGCTGGTCTCCTCCTAGCCAGATGGTGTCACGAAGACAGGAACCATCTCTGTCTGGTTCTTAGTCATCTCCTGTGTCCGGCAAAGGGTGCTGCTCTGAGTATTCCTGAATGAATACTGAGTCCATGAACCACATTTCTGTCCTCAATGTAACAGGCAGGGGGTGCAGAGAGGGGGTGCTGCTGGAATTCCAGACCCATCTCACGATAGAATGGAGAGAAGGCTGGGAGAAGTGGGCGGATGGCTGTGTCAGCTTCCCCAGAGTGGGTGTGGACGGGCAGGAAAACGACGAGGCAGAGATGTGCTGACGCCTGCACTCACAGCTCAAGCAGCGAGGGGAGCAGTGGTTCCACTTACTCTGGAGGGAAATGATGACTTCGGTTTGGAACCCTGTGAGGCATCTGATGAGGTGGGTGTGTGCCCAGATGTTACTGAGAAAAAGGACAGATCAGCAGCTCAGAGACATGCTTTGAAGAAGACATAGGGTGATTACAAACTACTTAACAGCTGGTAAAGCATGGCTCCCATCCATTAGAATGAGTGCTTGGCCTCCGGGCAGGGGGCAGGGCCCAGGGACCCTCACAGTGCCCGGATATTAACCTCTTAAGTTGCTGGATTGATAGGAAGTCTAGAGGTCCCAAGGGAGGCAGATGCTCAGGTGGTCCAGGGTTACAGTGCATTTCAGTCACTTAACCTCTGGTGTGGCTGCACAGAAACAAGGCCTGAAGCTCTTATTATGCGACAGATTTGTGCTAAGCTAAGCGCTCTCCACCCATGACCTCACTCAAACCTCAAAACCACCCTGTGAGGTATGACCAGCAGCAGCAGCATCACCCTCACCCTCTTCTCCATTCTAAGTAACACAGGAAGTGGTAGAGCAGTCTTCCCAGGAGCCTGCTGATAATCCCACCTGGGGAAGTTCACGGCAGCCTCTGATCATGGCAGTGGGTCACCTGCAATTTCATCAATATCTTCAATAACTTGTGCCTATTCCCCCATTCAAAAATGAAGGCAACCTTGCTTCCTGAAGCTTCCTGTCACTCATGCAAGCATTCCAAGGGACTTCCCACAGGCCTCTGCAAACCTAACCACCCCTAGCCCAACTGGCTCTCCTTCCTGTGCCCTATACACTTGGCTATAGCACCTGTAATTCCTCATGGCACCTACCAGTTCCCACAACTGTCACCCCCCACTGGAATGCAGGGACACTGGAGGACAAGGATACTGTCACGTATGTCTTGAATTAATTGATGTACAGCTATGGGTTCAATAAATGTCCATTGAATGGGCAGACACATAAACAAGACCGAATTGTGGTTATTCGGGCTAAGCTCAAGCCCCAGCTGCCCCACCATCAAGAATGTGAATTCATAACGCAGTCCTTTTATTGTCATCACTTGAATTTATATCTCATTACCTGTATCACCCTTGTAGATGTTTTCTACTCTATTAAATAAGAATCTATTAATACTCCACAGTCTGAGATTAGAGACTGCAGAAATGATGGAAGAGCAGAAATGTGCCTGATGCAACCGACCGGCTGGAGAAAGAACTGAATTTGTGTTTCCATGCAGTTTAGCTGCTCAACCCCATCCCCCAAAAAGGGCAAAACTAGTTACTGAAGTGTATATACCAACTCCTAGACTTTAAAAGATATATATAAATGATTTCTACCATCTATGAAGGTGACATCCTGATCTGTGAACTGCTTTAGGAAAAACATCATGCTCAGAGTTGTGAGGCCTCAGAGATGCCACCTCAGGAACCCAGAATGATTGGCAGAAGTTCAGAGTAAGGGCCCTCTGGCCAGAAAGGAGGGCACGAGGATACTTGTGCACTCAGGTCCTGCCTTCCCTCCCTCGACCCCCACCCTGGCCTAGGTGGGAGAAAAAGAGTTCCTGCGCTGGCGGTGTTAGAAGGGGGAAGGATGCTGTCAAGGGGCAATGGGTTCAAATCTCACCCCTGGCACGTCCTAGCTAATGACCTTGCATGATCCTCCCCAGCCTGCTGCCGCTCTGTAAAAGGGAGTACGTATGATGGTGCTTACCTCCCGGATATATTAGGAGGAAAAAACAGAGGCCTATGAACTGCTTAGCACAATGCTGGCACACAGGTGCTCAATCAACAGCCCTTTATTAGCTTAGCCAGTCAGGAGGGCCACCTGCGAAGTACACGTGCCCAAGGTTTGCGATGGGGCTGAAGGTTGCTAAGACGGTCTGAGACACAGGTTCTCAAACCTGGCTGCACACTAAAATCACCTAGTGTGACTTTAAAACTCTAGCGCCAGCCCTCTTTACACCCAAGCCCGTGGAGGCGGGCCCAGGCATTTTTTTAAAACTCTGGAAGATTCAAACAGGTAGTCAGGGTTGAGACCGTCTGCTGTAGCTAACAAGAGTTGGAGTCAAGCAATGACCTATAAACAAACCTGCTATTAGTGCATCAAAAGTATGTCCCCAAGCCTAAGAGTGAAGCCATCTTGGTTTTAAAATTTAAAGAGTCTGAAAATGGAAAGCTTACTCATCTTTCTAATCCTCAATACTGCACAATAAAATACATCATAATTACTAAATTCTCAGAAAGGAACCACTCTGGAAAAGTCGTAACAAAGCTCAAGTGTTTATTAAGAATTAAAAATACTGTAAATAAGCCATACAGTTCATTTCACAGTAAACTAAACAAACCTTTTTTTAAATTTTTTTTTTTCTTTTTTTGAAAGGCAAGACAGCCATTTAAGAAGAGTACAGCTCAAAGGGAAAGGGAAACGGCGAACTACAGCAAATGCACACGCTCCTCACTGACAGATCAGGGTCCGCTCTGACGGCAGACCTCTTCACAGACATTGTGGCAAAATGAAAAGACTTGGCCTCCGTTCCCCAGGGAGAAAGCCCATGCCTTTGTGAAGAGCCCCCATAATACATTTCCTGAAAGAATGCAAGGGCTCCCCTTTCAGGGATTATAAACGTATGCATTATTTGGGGACCCTACCAAGAGGTGACACAGGTCAGGGGACTCTGTGGGGGTGTTGTGCCTTCACATTCAGAACCGTCTGGATTCTTTGCATAGTTACCTTTGAGATCATGGGATGACTCAGGAAAGGAAGAAGACACCCACACCATGGGAGGCCACAGTCAAGCAGCTGCTTCTTTCAACTAGCAAGGGGGTGGGGGGGCTTCCCCCTCCCTACTCAGAGCTGGCATTGATTAGTTTTAACCAATTTAAAGTGGAAGACAAAATATGAGTGACATCTCCTGAAGACTTGGGCCAGAAGTATAAAAAAAGTAAAATTGATTTTCCTTAAAGACACCTAGGAAGAAAAATGCTTCCCCCACTCCGTTTTTTTTTTTTTTTTTTTTTTTTTTTTCCACTTGAAATCTGCCAGCCAGCCAGGCTTTTTTGAGGTTAATCTGCTTCTGTTTATCCTCGGTTGAAGCCACTACCATTCTTCTCTGACACTAGAGACATCCCAGCCAACAGGCACCTCTGATCCACAGGGGCTGGGCCTTAAGGAAACCAACCAAAAGCAGAAGCAGAACACTTGAGAAACCAGTGGTGTGTGGTAATAATCGTAAATAAATTAACCGGGCACAGAAATACAAAATGCTGCGGTGTTCCAAGTGGTGTCCACTGCTCTTTAACAGGGGACTAGAATGTGGAGGGGAGGGGGCGCATGGGAGAAAAACAACTTTTTTTTTTTTTTTTGGTCATGAGAAATTGGACTTTCAATCCGCACCCTGAAAACACAATCCATTTAGACTTTTTCATGAATTTTTTCAACTTGCACAAACAACCTATCCAGGTCACTTCTCAGGTCATCGAGCAAACCCTTGGCTGATTCCAGGTTGTTCTCGTTGGTTTCTATTTTCACTGAGTATGCCACCAAACTGTCCACGGCAGTCCTGAGCATTTTCAAGTCCGATTCCACTTGGCTGACTGAGGATTTGAGGTGGTCTAGAGAAGCAAGTCTGTCCAGGAAGTCCTGAGGAGGCACGTGGGCTGCCTGGGCTTGGTCCTGACCCAGCAGCGCGTGGACTTGCTCTTGAACCTTTTGGAGCGTGTCCACAGTGCTGGGGAGCTCGCCCACGCTTCTCTTCAACTCCTCCACGTCGCTGTAGAGCGAGAGCTGGGCCTCCCCCAGGCTCCTCACAGTGCTGGCCAGGGTGCCCTTGTCCGCCTCCTCGGCGGAGGAGCCCAGGCCGTCCAGGCGTTCCTGCAGGGCGGCCAGGCGCTGCTCACACTCCTCGCTCTTGGCCAGGAGGGCCTCCAGGCTCTCGCTCTGCCGCGCAGAGGCCATCTGCACGGCCTGGACTCCATCTTCCACAGTCTGCAGCCGGGAGTCCAAGCCCTCACTCTTTTTGTGGAGTGCTTCTAGGGCGTCGGAGTTTTTGAAAACCCCATCTTCTTCTGGCCTGAGGGACTGGGCCTTCAGCTGGCGCAGCTCCTCCTCAAGTCTCCTGATCTCCTCTGGGAGGTGGGAAGTGGCCTCCTCGGACTGGACAACCCTCTCTGTGAGGGCCTGCAACGTGAGGTGCTCCGAATCGGCTGCCTCCTTGAACTTCTGCTGCTCCTGTTTGAGGCTCACCAGCTCTTTGACCTCAGTGTAGACATCAGACTCCATGGTCTGCAGGGTGCTTCTCAGGGCCTCCAGGTCCTTTTCTTTGGACTTCACAGAGGCTTGTATTTCCTTCACAGCTTCCTTCAAGGCTTTCAAATCCTGCTTGTATCCCTCGGCGTCTTCCAAAGAGGCAACCTTTGCCTTCACGTCATTTATTTCCTTCTGGCTCCTCTTCTGGACATCTGTGAAGATGGCAATGTTGTCGTTGATGGACTTGGTGAGCTCTGTAAGCCTCTCCTCCACCGTGTTCTCAAGGGATGTGAAGTCCCGCTCCCGGGCATCCTTCACCACGTGGATCCCATCTGAGAGGTCTTTGAGAATCTCATTCTGGAGCTTTTGCAGAACTTCACTGATCCGGTTGATCTCGCTCTCCCCTTGCTTCACGACTTTCTCTGTGAGATCTTGTTTATGTTGGGAGCTTCTCAAGATGGACTCAAAAGTCCCAAATGTGGCTTGTAGAGACTGCACCTGTAACCAAAGTCCAAATGTCAGCTGCTAAGAAGAGCTGATGAGGGTCATGCACACAACTATGGAAATTTTTTGTCTGCCCAGCTTCCAGGTCCCTCCTCTTCTAGAATGGCGCCACAACTGTCATTTGGAGAACCATCCTTACACACACACAGTGGCTATGTGGCTTGGGGGACCAACCTGAGGGCCCCCTCCTAGTGCGCCAGGGATGGTTTGTAACACAGCCCTGACCAATCAGCACTCTCTATCCACCTTGCTCCCCAAAAGTGGAGCCCAGGTATGGGCACGTGGCCTGACACAGGCCAGCAAGTCAATTCCAGGACTACTGTTAAATCTACTTCAAAAGAAAACCTCACTCTACAGGGGACTGCTATCTACAGAATGAGAGAAGCCTGGAGCTGAGCTACTCAGACTAGCACAGGAAGGACGCAGGTCTAAGAATCAAGCCAGCAGAGAAGAAAGCAGAACTGAGAAACAAGATGATAAGATCAAGTCTGAAGACACAATTTGAATCCCTGGATACAGCTACACCTTCAACTCTCAAACTCTCAATTCTCTAGTTTGAGCCAATAGGTTCTCCCCACCACACTTTGAGCTGCACTTCTAGCTTGCAAGTCAAAGAGTCTCACAAGTTTTCGCAGGAAAAAAGTCTGAGGCACATGGGAGACAGTGGGCTGAGAGGAAAGAGACGAGGATTTGGGTCTCTGCTCACCATTCACAGCTGTGCTGCCCTGAACAAGTCATTGTTCTCACCTGCAAAATGGGAGCGCTGGACCAGATGATCCCTTAGCATGTTCTGGCTTAGTGTATACATTAAGATCCTATTGGCCATCACACATTCATTTTAAATAAATTCTACCCTAAACAAGGTCTGATCTGGGAAATACCTCAAGGAGCTGGTTTAATGTACTGAGAGGCTGAAAGATGATGATTAATGACTTCGGCTTTATCTTAATATGTTACACGGGGCCACCTAGAATGCTTTCTTGCACGCACGCACACACACAGAAAAAAAGAACTGAATCTATCAAGTCTCCAGCTCTAATCACCAATTCACAGAAAACATACAAAAGGGAAACATGCCAGGAGGATGCAATCAGCCAAAGCCACAGAGTGGAAAATCCTACAGGACAAGTAACCGGGATCTGCAACAAGTAACTGGCATTTTAAAAGGGAAATAGACAGGAGACTATTACAGATTAAAAGAAATTTAAGATTCATCAATCAACTGTAATGTGTGGACTTAAATGGATCCTAATCCAAACAAACCAATTGTGAAAGAGAGATTTTTGAGAGAAGCAGAGAAATCTCATTATGGACTGGGTATTAGAAGATAACCAAGAATTATTGTTAACCAATGAATGCCTAAAAAAGCAGAACAACAAATCAATGTTTCTCTCTCCCCCGCTTATTCCCCCCACCAAAAAATAAATAAATTTTAAAAAATAATGGTTAACTTTGTTAGGGATCATATACTATGTTCTGTCAAAAAATAATAATAAAACAAAGAAAGAAAAGTAATTCTTGCCTCTTAGAAATAAATCCTAAAATACTTTGGGTGACCTGATATGTCAGTCAGGGATTAATTTTAAAATTATTGGGTTGGCAAAAAAATGTTACATTTTTTCCATACACTGGCTCTGGTAGTGCCTAGTTGTCCTTAACATCATTCCAAACAATTCTATTAGACTGTATTGTGACAGCTGTCACATCACTGTGCATTTAAAAAAAAACTTTTCAAAATTCATGAATTTTTGTGCGATTTTAATATTGAAGGTGGAAGAAAATATGCAACATTTTCAATGTATTATGCTTTATTATTTCAAGAAATGTAAAAATGCAACCGAAATGCAAAAAAAAAAAAAAATGTGTGCAGTGTATGGAGAAGGTGCTGTGACTGATAGACTGAACATGACTGAATGTGACTTTCTGACTGAACATGTCAAAAGTGGTTTGCAAAGTTTCTTTGTACTATTGATATTTTGGCCAAATATTTCTTTGCTGTGGGGCTGTTCTATGCATTGAAAGATGTTTAGCAGCACCCCTGGCCTCTAACCACAAGAAGCCAATAGCGGGAGCTAGGCAACATACTCGAAATATCCAAATCAATAAAATCATTGGTGAAAATGAAAAATGTGTATTTTATTCTATGGGAAAAATGTAACAGGCTTCTTGGCCAACCCAACTCCGTTGACTATCAGCTGGGTCTGCCAGGGCAACTTAGGCCTTTCAGAGGGCTTAGAACCCAACTCCAACATTGTCTGAAGCCCTGCACTCCACTTGTGCCCACTGAATCTTCTGGGTAAGGACCGGCCAGCCTCTCTGCCCATGCTGTGGCCACTCAGAAGACCTGGGCCATTTTCCAAAACTGACAGCATCTGGAGAACAAGAGAAGCCAGGTGGGTACCCAACAGGGCAGTGGAGTAGAGTGCTTCTGACTTCAGATCACAAAGAAAGAGGGAAGAGGTAGTGATTGAATGAAACAAGAATAGAAAAAAAAAATAATTACTGAAATTGGGATTCATTAAATTGATCTCATCTTTTGTTTATGTTTCAACATTTCCATCATAAAAAGTTAAAAAATAAAACAGTGTGCGCTCTAGACCCAGACTGCCTACGTTCACAGCCTAGCCTGGACACTTCCTAGCTGTGTGATCGATCGTGGGCAAACTACTTAACCTATCTGTGCCTTGGTTTCCTCAGCTGCAGGACGGGAACAAAAGTACCCAACTCCAGACTGTCTTGTGAGGATTAAGTGAGTTAATCTATGTAAAGTGCTTACATTGTGCCTAACATACAGTGAATGATCAATAAATGGTAACTATCATCTTCATTATTGTTTAATCTTTCTTCTAAAGTAGCTCAGAAGTCTGGAGATTCCTAGACCATCCTCAGTCCAATGCCAAAGGGAACACACTACAGGAATGGGAACAGGACACCGAGGCTCTAGTTCCAGCCCCACCAATAACCAGCTCTGTGAGCATGAGTTAAGTCGCACTCGCTTCCCAAGTCCCAAGCTCCTTGTCTATTAACAAACAGGTTTCTAAAGTCCCTTCTGGCTTCTACCAGCCTGTGATTTTAAGACAAATTAGAGTAAGGTTCTCAGGGACTTTAGGATATTAGACAATTTCCCTGCCCAACCAAATATAACCTGAGTAATAAAGAACACTGGAGAGAGCTCACCTCTGAAACTAGGCTATGTAATCACAGCACTTGCCTGTTCTCAGAATAGAGACATGAGCAGGTGAGTGCAGTACCTGCAACATGGCAGGCATTCACCAGTGAATGAATCAAAGAATAAATGAATTAACACAGCAAAGTCAAATTAAGACTGAGCTGATCCATTTCCTCTCTGACCACTGACTATCACCCATATCCAGGGCTGGCTTTTCACAAATGGCTGGGAAAGGGACTAGATCAGAAAATATGGATTAAACCAAACAGACCAATTCCCAACACTATAAAAAAGAACACAGTGATGCTGTTGGTTGTTCATTTTTACATGCAAAGCCCTGATTATAATTAATATGCAACAGATGCATTTGTTCCCCCAATATATGTGGGATGCCACTAAGTGGTGGGTGCTGGGCAAGATGTCAGAGATAAAATAACAGCTAAGACAGTATCCCTGCCCTCAAGGAGCTCACAACCTGTGGAAGGGGGATGGTGGTGACTGTCATTCAACTACAGTATACAAGTTATGCAAAGTACTTCAGAGACATCCTCTCTGACTTCCGGTCAAGATGGCGGCATAGGTTAACATAGCTTACCTCCTCGCACAACCACATCAAAATTACAACTAAGATATAGAACAGCCCTCACTCAGAATCATCAAAAATTGAGTTGAATGGAAGTCTAACAACTATAGAATTAAAGAGACACCATCACATTACATCTTCCTAATAATCTCATTAGTGGCTCCCATTGTTCTCCATTTCATAAGTGAGGAGACTGAGAGGTGGCAGAGCTGAGCATCAAAATCCCAGAATGTGTGACTTCAGAACATGAGCTTTAACCTCCATGCGATATGCTCAGGCAAAGGTGCGTTCAAAGTGCACGAAGAACATGGAGATGCTGCCTAAACCCAAAGCCCTAACTCCTGGTCCAGGGCCAAATGGGAAAACAAAGAAATATGACCAGAGAACTTACTCTTCAACAAATAACAAGTAGTCTCATTAAACTCCCCCCGCTAGGCCTAAGCCAACTCCTACAATCACTTTAGGTCACCCTGGATCCACCAGGGTAACCTGGGACCTTTAGCTCCACCACTTAGGACCTGTATGTGACAATGAACTAGTAACAACCAACGACCACTCCAGGCTCAGCTGGCCTACCTGTGAATTAATAAATGGTACCTGCCTCAGAGGATGGCTGGAAAACACTTAACAGAATGCCTGGCGTTAATATGTGAATGCTAATTATGACTAACACTGTAAGTATGATATGATGAATAATAATAGTGAATACTAATTATGAATAGTAACACTGTAAATATATGTCCCTGCTGAGACTCCAGCCCCAACCAAGCCTTACATCAAGTCTAAAAAGGGTTCAAGCTTAGGTTGTCAGAAGACCCATCACTACTCACACCTCAATGCAAAACAACTTATTTCCTATCTACCCAGGGATGCACAAAGAAGTGACCACACACTGTGGCAAATCCTAACACTCTTCTGGGCATGTTCTGAGTTCCAAGCCAATGGAATGAGCATAAATTGAGCACTAGTGCCACTGCCAGGCCAGGCCCAGAAAAGACAACAAAATGAACAGATGAATGGTTAAGAGTGTTTTAGGAAATATCTGCAGACTGAATCCTAGCCCTACCACTTACTAGCTATGTAACTATGCAAAGTTACTTAGCCTCTTTGTGTCTCACTTTCTCATCTGCAAAAGGGGGATAATAGCACAGGTGACCCTTGAACAATTTGGGAGTTACTGGTGCCAACCCCCCTGCAGTCAAAAATCCACATGAACCTTTTGACTCCCCAAAACCTAACTACTGATATAGCCTGTTGACTGGAAGCTTTACCAATAACAGTCAATTAACATATTTTGCATGTTATATATACATATTATATACTGTATTACAATAAAGCTAGAGAAAATGTTATTAAGAAAAATCATAAGGAAAATACGCTACAATGCTGTATGTATGTATATATCGAAAAAAAATCCACATATAAGTGGACCCGTATAGTTCAAACCCATGTTGTTCAAGGGTTGACTGTACTTAGTATCCCGTAGGAGCTGTTGTGAAGAGATGAGCGCACAATAAATACGATGCATTAAATAATAGCTTGATTATAATACTAAGTTTAAAAAAAGGTCACTATTTTCAACAGTGATCACTAACTCAACACTTTGTAGTCAGGTGAATTCTTAAAAATCTAGATGGGACCCTCCCCTGTGTAAGTGGGAAAACTGAGCCCTAGAGAGGAAAGTAATCTGTACACAGCTGTGACATGCGACAGGGAAGGGGTGGGAACCAGAAAGGAGGGACTAAGAGGGACAGGGAGGAAGCGGAGAATAAAGCCCAATTTCTTCAATCTGGATTCATGATTTCCCCTATTTGGGCCTCAATTTCAATCACTCCTCTCACAACTTCCTGTTACTGAACAGAGGCAGGGTAGCCACCTGCTGTTCCTCAAACATGCTCGAGATCGTCCCCCGTCTGTGTGTTCCTCATGCCTTCTCTCAAGTTATGGATCACCAACTCAGATCCCAAACTGTGGCTCTCGACTGAACACCTGGATAGCACAGAGGCCTAGGCAAACTCCACACCCTCTCTCTTCTGGACATTCCCCCAGTTTCCCCTGATGGAAACCTATTTATGTGCAGCTTCACAAATGTGACTTGTGTCTTTTCTGCTTCCTACCATCCACAGGACCTACGCAAAACCATATGACTATCACACTTCAATAAACATTATGGTTGATTAGTAAGTGGGTGGATTATAGGGAGGAAAATGGGAGCCTAGTGATTCTACTCCAGCAGCATGTCTATTTGTTTAAGAATGATTTCGCACTCAAGATAGGCAAAGCACCACTGCCTACTTAATTCAAAAAGTCACCTCCCGTGGCCTACAGCACTGAGCAGGCTGACTCATCCCAGTTGCTCTGCCTGTCTTAAAATTCCTAGTCCTGCATACTCCACAAAAGTGGAAAGGAGCCTGGCAAGACAGACAGCATGCTGGGAAAAGGAGGCAGCAGTTTCGGGCTCCTAAGTGGTGGCGGGATTTTTTGTTTCATCAGGCAACCAACTTTCATTGAGCAATGACATTACTGGCGGACAGCGGAGGAACGAGATTAGAGGGAGTTGCATCTGGTGTGGAGACACACAGAAGGGTGTAAGCTAAGCAACTGTATGTTGAAAGTTGGGTCCATCCACACACCTGCAACAGGCTCCTGTGGACCCTGAACTGGGCAGGGGCCTGACATCCTCATGCCCTCTGCCACGCATCGGCTGGGGTCTGGATCCATTCATTTACTCTCTCTAACCCTCAGTTTTCTGGTCTGGAAAATGGAATCAAAACTGCCAGTCTTTCCTCTCTCCCAATGGTTGCTATGAGGATTAGGTAATAAGTGAGGAAGCCTTCTAAACACCATATAAGTGGTATTATTCACCAATATGGCCTACTATTCTTGGCCTTTCCTTTCCTCCTTAGCTATAGTACTCTGCTTCCAAGGCCCAAATGGGTACATTGGTCTGATAAAGGATGAGGGGACCTAAAGATACGTACTATTTCCCTGGAATTTCTCAAATGCATAAAACTATTAGGTCTTCCTTCCCCAGGCTCCAGGTCTATTAAAAACTGGCTCAGATGTCTCCCACTGGGAGAGCTGAGGTACTTGCGGCCTTGCCAGAGGCTTCCAGGGATGCGCTGGCTTCCCTTCCAACCCCTTTTCAAGAACGCTGCCCATTCAACGGTTCCTAACCCCCCAAAAAAGGGCTCCCCGGAGCCTCCGGCTTCCTTACAGGTCACCGGTCGTGTCCTGTGACAGGCCCTCGGCCCACCCTCGCGGCGGTCCATCCCTCGAAGCCGATCCCTCCGCAGCAATTACAAAAAGGGTCTGGGGGCCGCCTGGGGACTTGGGGGTGGGTGGGTGGGTGGGGTGGGGGACCTGGGCAGGGGCCCGGCTGTAGGTACGGGGGCCAGGGACACCCACCTTCTGCTCGACGCCCTGCAAGCCCTGCCCCAGCTCCTCCCGCTGCCGGGAGAAGTCGTGGTGGCTGCGCCGGACCTGCTGGACCTCCTCCAGGACGTGGTGCACACACCAGCCCGAGAAGACGGCCGCCGCCACCAAAGCGAGGTAGAAGAGAAAGTTGAGCGCCCGGCCGAGCCTGCGCGAGCAGGACGCCGAAGACGAGGCGGCGGAGGAGGAGGAGGTGGAGGAGGACTTGCCGCCGCGGTGGCCGCCCTTGCCGTGTGCCTGGTTCTGCGGATGCTGCGGCGGGTGCTGCGAAGAGTGCAGCGCGGGCGGCGGATGCGGCGGCTGCTGGGGCGCCGGCGGCTTCTTCGCCACGTCATCCGCGCCGCCCGACGGATGGGCGCCCTTCTCCGAGGGGCTCGCGGCGCCGTGGCCGCCCTTGGAGCCCCTTTGTTTGGCCGAGGGCATGGCGGGCGCGGCGGCGGAGGCCGCGGGCTACGAGGAGAGCGAGCGGGACGCGCGGCCCGGGACACTTCCTCGGGTTCCCCCGGGGCTGGGTGAGTGGCACGCGGCGCTGCTGGCGTCGGAGCGGCCAAGAGAGAGAGGGCGGGCGGGCGGCGAGAAAAGAGGCCGGGCGAGGGAGGAAGGAGGAGGGGGCCTGACTCCGCCGCCGCGGCGCCGACCCCGCCCCCCGGGAAGGGAGGCCGGGAGCGCGGAGCGGGGAGAGCCTGCCACGCACGCGGGGGCGGGGGCGGCCCCTCCCCCTGCGCCACGACCCCACAGAGGGAGGGCCGAGGGGAAGAGGTGGCCCAGCGGGATCCAGGGGGGCGAGTAAGGGCCAGTCCGGGTCTATAGGGGCAGGGGCAGGAGTGGGCGGTGGAGGTGGAGGTGGAGGTGGAGGTGGAGGTGGGGGTGGGAGGCGCTTTGAAGTGGGGGCGTGACCGAGCGGGGTCCACGGGGCCGACGGGTTGAGAGGTGGCTGAACCCGGACTACGAGGGCCGGGGCAGGCGGCTGAAGTGACGGAGGGAGGAAAGGCGGCCGGGCGGGGTCTACGGAGTCGGGGACCGGCAGCCGAGGTGTTCAAAGGGAGGGGGCGAAGGCCTGGATGGACCGGGGCCGAGACTGGCGACTGAGCGGGGGCCACGGGGGCTTCGGGGATAGGCGGCCGAGGTGGGGGTGGCCAGGCGGGTGGGAGGAGGGAAAGCCTGGGATGACCCGGTGCAGTGGGCCAAGCGCGAGCACCGTTTCTTTCTCGACCAGTTCGCAGAGAGGAAGTGAAGGAGCGCGCCCCAGGAGCCCTGCCCCGGCCTGGAGTGGGAGTAAGAGGGCGGGAACAGACCCCCCACCCCAATTCCTTCCCACTGGGAGTTGGGGCATCCCCGCCCCCCACTCCCTGCCTTCTTCCAAGCCTGCCACGGGGCTGAGCCTTGGCTCTTCCCTTGGATTTGAAGGCGGAGGCCAAAAGGGCTGTCTGTGTAAAACCCGGTCAACCCCGTAGGGCACTGGGACATAGTCCAGCAAAGATTCTTGGACTATGTTAAGTCTCTTCGTGGAAACAAAGAGTGTCCCCTTAGCCCAGTCAGTCCACCGTCAACGCTATTTACTTTTTTTCTGAAGCCCTGTCAACTGGGCTTTGTCTTGGGGGGTGCAGCAGTCTGTCCACAGCCCCTACTAGGGACCAGCCTTGGAGCACTGACAGGGTAGGCAGATAGGGTTGTCGCATCTACTTTGGTAGAAGAGAATACAGTAATGTCAGGATTGTGCTCAGCAACTTACATTGGTCTTAAAATCTCAAAAAACTTCGTAAGGCTGGAATTATTTTACCCATTTTATAGGAAGGAAACTGAGGCTGCACTGCCACCCCAAATGATTGGCTCAAGGTTACATTCAGCCATCTGCTTCTTCCAGAACCTATGCCTTTTAATCACTTTAGAGGGGGAAGGAAATGTGACCCCATGGAAATTAAGCAACTTGCTCACTCTCACTAAGGCTAGTTGGTGCTGGGGCAGGGACCCAACTCCACTCCGCTGTTTTCCTCCTGAACCTGGTATCTGGTGTGTGCCTGGCACTGTGTATGCCTAGCAGTGTGCTGTAAGGAACACAGCTTCTTCTGCCTGTTCTCCCAATTCTGTTTTTAAAAACATTCCCTGTCCTTAAGGCCTAGTTCAAATGCCACCCCTTTCATGATGCCTTCTCTATAACGCCACCTGATACCTCTCATGGCACTGAGAGACAGCGAATAATTGAACACATGTATATGTTCAGTATAGCAAACCTTTGTTTAGGTCCCACTATATGCCAGACAGATGTCTGCAAATTATTAGGAGTCTCCCCTCCTTGAGAACAGGAGGTAACTGTTGCTTATATTTCTCTTTGTATCTCACCGTGTAAGATGTTTTTAAAAAATCTTTAGTGAATGAGCCCCGGCTGATGTGGCTCAGGGGGTTGGGGCATTATCCTGTAAACCGAAAGGTCACGGGTTCGATTCCTGGTGAGGACACAGGCTAGGTTGCAAGATCCATCCTCACTGTGTATGAGAAGCAACCAGTCAATGTTTCTCTCCTGTCTTCCTCCCTTCCCCTCTATCTAAAATCAATAAGTATGTCCTTGGGTGAGGATAAAAAATAATGTATAGCAAATGTGTACACACATATGTGCCTGCCCTCAAGGGGCCTACATTACATTTGGGAAAATGTGCAGAAACATTTTGAAGCTAAAGTATGTGGCTGAGAATATAAATGTTAAGGAAACTTGGAAAGCAAACCACTAGGCCGGAGATGGGGAAGTCTTCCCCTTCGTGGCAGAATGTTCTTGAGCAAAGCCTTGAATAGATTTGCACAGGAGGAAAGCAGGGAGGATGTTTCTGTGGTGGAAGTGGGGTAAGCCCAGGACACCTGTCTGATGTGAAGGGTGTTTGTTGCGATATAGGGAAGAAAGATAGGAGCTGGGTGGAATGGGTCCAGATTGCAAGGTCTGTGAAAGCCAGCCAACCAACCAGAAGAGTCACTATTAGTGTGGGAGGCCAGAATAAATGATACTAAGTTCTAGAAATACCACCATCTGCCCCAGACAGGAACCTCCTGGTTCAACAGGACACACGACTCTGATCTTGGGTGGGAGGTCGGGAGGTGATGGCAAAGGAAAACAGAACACTAACTCATGGAAGGTGCTCAGAACACCTTGTTTAAAAACCCCAGCTAAGTTCAGATTGTGTTGAGAATCTCTGACACACAGAAGGAGCTCCATCATCCTTCATGCAGTCATCCTGTTAGGGAAGAGACAGCAATAACTTGCGAAGCAGCTTTGGAGGCCCAGCCAAGCGCTGGCCTCGGGGGCAGGAGCCCTGTTTTGCGAGCCTTAGTTCTGCCACCCAACTGTGACCTTGAAAAGTACTTAACCTGCTGGATTTCAAGGTCACCCCTTCTGCATCTCTAAAGATCTTTCTTACTGCTACTCTAACTCTTAGAGAAACTAATCATCTGTTTTTTATCAGAAAGAATTAAATACTTAAATTTGTTTAAGTTGGTTTAGACTGTAGGCCAGATATACAAATGGGAGGTTTTTCAACTCTACTGAGCCCTGGAAGAATAGAGGGGGTGGGGGACTGCTACTATTTTTAGTTTTTCTCCTTCTCTCTTTCCCTCTGGGAGATAGTGAGTATAGTGGTTAAGACACAGGGTCTGGAATAAACTGACTTGGGTTCAAAGTCAATTTCATGACAGACTGGGGAATGTGATCTCTCTTGAGTGTCTATGTCTTCATCTGTGGTGGGGGGTGGGGGAGGGGCAATAAGAACTACTTCACCTGGTTGTGGTGAGGATTAGATGAGAGACACCATATAATGCTGGGCACAGAGCAGGGCTCAGTGAATAAAGGGAGCTAACACAATTCGCGGAATCATTGAGTGAAAGTATAGCTGCACAGACCTTCTGTGTCTAGGTTTCAATGATTTTCTTTCATCATTAGTTCTCGGCGCTTCCAGCACCATATGAGGCTTATGGACCACAGGCTCTGATGTGTTTCACTTGAGAAAGCAGGCAGTGTTTTCCTCTGAAGCGTGGTTCCACTGTGGGGTTTGGCTGCACCCAGAGGACGAGGTTGTGAGTAGTCGTGAAAGTGCACCTTCCAGGACAGGGAGGCGCCGAGGGGCCTTCACGGTGGTTTCCTTTCTTCTGCCCCACAGTCAGACTCAGCACAGCTTGCATTTAGAGTTCCCTTCCTTTCCTCTTGATTCATTCTCCTCTATCCCTTTTCCTCCCCATCCACCCCAAGTGTGTTGGAGGGACCCCCACCTTGTGCGAAGCCTCTTCAGAACACCATTGGACTACATGGATCATACGTTACAAGGTAGAGCTTTGTAAGCCTGCAGCCCTCTTGGTCCTCTGCGTTTCAGTGAGAATGCCTAAGTAGAAAGCTGCTCGCACTCCTGATTGCCTCTTCTCTGTTCCAGGTTGAAAAACACCCCCCAGAGGCCAAGGCATGAGCCTGAATGCCCTGCAAACCGGGTGTGTAAGAGAGGTGGGGGCCTTCCTTACAGGTTGGCTCAGCTAGGATCCCCTCCCCAACCCTGCCCCGCCAGCCTTTTGGTTCACACTCCCAGCAGCTCCCCAGCTTCACATCCTATAGCTCCATGCAGTGGGGGAATCATTTCTTAGAGCTCCCAGCACCGTATGTGGCTTCTAGACCACAGGCTTCACCTCACTGAGTCCCAGTTTTTTTTAAGATAACCATAGTTCCTACCTTACAGAGGCAATGTGAACATTAAATTGATTTTCTCTCCATAGCTGCTTCACTCACAGCCTTCCTCATCCCAGCTCCTGCCAGTAACATCTGTTCAGTTGCTCAGGAACGATCCTTGACTCCTCCTGGTCTCTCACCCAATCCCCCCACATCCAATGCAATATATTAGCAAACCTTGTCTTTACCTTCAAAATATACCCAACATCTCCCACTTCTCATGACCTGTACCACTTGCTACCACTGGTCCAAGTCACCACCAGCTCACATTTGGGCTGTTGAAATAACATCATATGGACCTCTCTGATTAAGCACCTGCTGCCCTTTGGTCTCTTTTCAACATACTAGCCAGACAACACACTATCCGTGGACATATGTCAGATCATGTCACACCTTTTTCCAAAATCCTCTGGTGACTTTGGAAGTCATTGGGAGTAAAGGGCAAAAATTTTACGATGATCTCCACAGCCGCCATGTTCTGACCCCCTGCCGCCCTCTCTGATCTAACCCCATGGATCACTGACATCAGACACAAAGGCCGCCTTATTGCTCCTCAATATGCCAGGTATGTTCCTACCTGGATCCTTTTATAATTTTCTTCTCTGTGCCTGATGAACTTTACCACCCCCACAAACTCCTTCCCCTTTTTAGTGTCCTTCACTTTCTCAGTTCAGATGTCACCTCTATGTGAGCTCTTCCTGGACCATCTTATATAACAACTGCCCAACAT